ATCCCAGGGGACATTGTTTGTATTTGAGAGCTGTTTAAATGTGTAATTTGTTGTAGATTTTACTGAGTTCAAGTGTTAATACTGTGACAGAATCTGAATCTCACTCTGAGTTACTGTTGTTGTTCACAAACTAAAGAAATGAGAGATCGTTTTTGTTTAGTTTTATTGAATATTTGAAGCAAACTGCTGACATGTAAAACTCTATCACTTATTTTGTTTCATTTTTCTGTTTTCTTAAATTAACAATACATACCGATTTGTCATATCGTCAAGATCAAAAACAAAAATACCTTGAAAAAATCATGATATTATTTTAGCGTCATATTGCCCACCTCTATTTGCAGAATTACGAACTGGGTGTTGAGGGTGATGATGATAGAAAAAAATGCTGTATTTAGTTACGGTAGATGGCGATACAGCCTCTGGGGGCAGACCCCCGGATTTTTTGGCATTCCGGTTGAACGAATTTACGTTTCCGACTTCCATTTATATATAAGTAAATATGCTGAACCATTGCGATGGATTCAGAGTTTGCAGTGACGCCAATTATGTTCCGCCTCGTTAGTTCACTGCACAGACCGTTTAACCTGGCAACAACTGCAGCCAGCTCAAACGTGATTGGTCAATATCACGCGGACTACAAACAGCCTACAAACAGAAACCAGGGCTCTTCCACTCTTCTTCCAGAGGCAAGATCTCCGGGGTTTGCCTACAGACTCTACATTCACTGAATGTAGAGTCTGTATATAGAGACTAAGTTATGGCTAACGCAAAGTGAACATTTCCTACTGCTGCAGCTTCATATTAAAAGCACTTAAATGGCTAAACACTTGACTTTTATCATGATTTTGTTGTTTTTTTACATGTTAACTTTTTTGGTCCAGCACCCACCCTCATACGGGGTAAGATGTGCGTGTTGTTTTTCCACTTTTGTTTGAAAAGGCCAATTATTGTCTTGATTCTTCATAAAAATTAAAACAGTTTGTTTTGCTGCTCCCAGAACACTGTGACATATATTAAACTGTATTTGCTGTTACCACCAGTAACTGCAGGTGTCGCCAAATCAACCATTTTCCCAAAGTTTGCACTTTAATAAATGATGACTTTCATTAATACAAATACATTTTTGTTGCACACTTCTCACACTTACTTGTAATCTGATCTTGCTTGATGTCTGAAACGCAGAGAAGAACAGATTAAGTGACCACAGCTATTACATAATCTGACTAAAACATACATCATGGAGGAGTCAGTACAGTACCGGAGGTCAGTTCAGTACAGTTAAGATTATATTACAGAGCAAAACATATTACTCTACTACGCTTAGATCCTTTAGAGCATACTCCACACGCACACGCCTGCAGCTGTATGTTTTGGCTCGGCGAGTCAGGCCTTCTTAATGACCTCATCAGTACCAGTGACCTGCAGTGTAGCAGGCCGGGTTTTATTTGGCTGTAAGTGACTCCTGCTTTTCTTTTACGTAACACCCCATTTCCTTTCTGCTTTCATGCTGGATGGCTCAAGCTGTTTCTGCAGCACTGTATTCACATTTTGAATAATGTGCTTGTTACTGTCTCAGTAAGATACACCTTACCTACAAAGGGGACATGTGTACAAGCATCAGGGTCTGCGCGAAGGCTCGGTAAGGCCTGACAGTTTGGCAGCAGTGAAGTGGGAGTGCGTGACCCAGTGACAGAGCTGAAGATGTCAGGCTGGACTGAACTGCTGCTCTCTAGCACCAACCACTCCTTATGGCAGTACAGCTCTTTCACCGCCAGGCAGTGTTCTCTGTTTTGTAAAGGGAGGAACAAATAGACATGTGTAAGTCATTTGAATACTGTTCTAATAAAGAAACACAAAGGGAATCAAAGAGACACGTATACTACCTGCAGACAGGTTTAGGGGCCGGTCCTAACCCTGATGGGTTGCAGTCAGGGAAGGAGGAGTGGCAGAGCAGTGAGCGCACCGCGGGGCTACACAACACACTGAGTCCTTCCAGCTCCGTCCACCAGCTCTGAACCAGGTACTCCTGCATGTCCTCTGGGTCCGACAGGGAGGAGTTAAAGAAAACCAGCAAGTCATCTCTCAGAATGGTGCGGCACACGTCTCCACGATACGCACTGCAGTATCCTGAGACGCCCTTGTAGAGTCTGTGGGTAGAAGACACACACAAATAGTCCTCCAAAACACAAAAGGCCCTTCAGCTATAGCAGAATTTCTCTAATAAAGTATGGCATAATTCAAGTCGTTGATATTGACTAAACTGGAGCAAAAATATTCTGGGAATACATCCTGCTTGGCCCCAGCTTTATATTGTACAGTATCAGCTTGGACGTCGCTTTATTAACATCTTGTGTAGGTTTTGGCTCGGCTGGCTTAATTGTTTACTGGCAGGTGTTTGAAGAAATTCAATAAGGAAAGAGCAGTCATGCCACAACTGTATTAACTTGTCAAGCAGCTAATACGGTCTTATGATTAACAGATATAAAATATTTTTCTAGGTATTACAGCTGTGACTGGAGGCATTATGTTTTTGGATTTTTTTGTCCTCTTGTCTGTCCGGTTCTCATGAACGAGAGATCTCAAGAGCGCCTTGAGGGAATTTACACAAATTTGGCACAAACATCCACTTGGATTCAGTGATGAACTGATAATAATTTGGCGCTCAAAGGTCACTGTGACCTCACAAAATGTTTTGGGCTATAACTCAAGAATTCATATGCTGATTAAAGTTATTACAGAAATGTCTAATGGGATTAAAGTGATGAGGTGATGACAGCTTCACTGTGACATCATAACATTCAGCAAAAACACGTTTCTGGCCTTCACTTAATGTCATATCTCAAGAACAGGAGCAGAGACATTTGGTCAGACGCTGAAATGATGACACTAATTTTGACTAAAACTGTCGTGATAGCTTAGTTTAGTTGACGATGTGTTTGAAGTATCCATATTTTAGCGTGTGTAGCTTCTTTGCAGCATCATCCATATGTGAAGCACCGTCTACTGTCATGACTCTGGACAAACATGGGTTCAAACTGCAACTTGACTGGTTCCCAGAGGTATGCAAATGCAAGGCGGTCATTGTAGTTCTTATTTATTTGTATGGAGGATACACAGACATGGCAGTAATTCTACAAGGGAGACAAGTTTGCTAATCCATTATCTTAAAGGGATAGTGCACCCAAAAATGAAAATTCAGCCATTATCTACTCACCCATATGCCGATGGAGGCTCAGGTGAAGTTTTAGAGTCCTCACAACACTTGCGGAGATCCAAGGGGAGAGGGGGTAGCAACACAACTCCACCTAATGGAGGCTGACGGCACCCCAGATTCAAACGTCCAAAAACACATAATTGAAACCACAAAATATCTCCATACTGCTCGTCCGTAGTGATCCAAGTGTCCTGAAGCCCCGACATAAAAAGTTGTTTGGAAAAACGTCATTTGAACTCTGTTTTTAGCCTCATTGTAGCCTGTAGCTCTAACTGCCTCTCTGTGGACCGCGCTCACGTGTGCGCGCTTGCACAAGATCATGAGACATGGGCACCGTGTTCATGTGTGTTCACGTGCTTTCGCTGGTCTCACACGCAAGTGCGCACACATGAGCGCGCACACATGAGCGCAGTCCACAGAGAGGCGGTCAGAGCTACAGACTAAAAACAGAGTTCAAGTGACGTTTTTCCAAACAACTTTTTATGTCGGGGCTTCAGGACACTTGGATCACTACGGATGAGCAGTATGGAGATATTTTGTGGTTTCAATTATGTGTTTTTGGACGTTTGAATCTGGGGCACCGTCAGCCTCCATTAGGTGGAGTTGTGTTGCTACCCCCTCTCCCCTTGGATCTTCGTAAGTGTTGTGAGGACTCTAGAACTTCACCTGAGCCTCATTATGCATGAGGGTGAGTAGATAATGGTTGAATTTTCATTTTTGGGTGTACTATCCCTTTAAACCCCTTGTCCGTTGCAGAGGACTGAAGCCCGATAACAATGGCCGTGAGTTAAGTAAACCCAGAACAGGTCACATACTAATTTGTATGCGGTAGTCCACATTAGCAAAATATCCAAACTAGATCTAAATAGAGTCAAGTTACTATGCAGTGACCTCACTAGCAGGAGAACCTTGGAAGATGGAAATAAGTCTATTGAATTTCTAATGAGTTATAATGGAGGAGTTTTCAAGGCAACTCATTGCTATGCTATGTATGTAGGGCAACACATTCTCACTCCAACCTTGTCACAAATTGACATTTGATCATGAACTTTCCACGTCTAGATACAACGTGAAAGGTACCCTGGGTGCGTTGGTTGGTGACGTTCTGGGACGGCGTGCCGTGAAGTTCTGCCTGTTACATGCATTGTCTTCTTTCAAGATACACTTCTGTTTGCATAGGAAATTTAACTTTTACATACAGTCTCTTTCAAAATATATGCATTATGTCTGTACAACACTGCAAATTGACATTTAATTTAGGTTTAGGATAAAATTAAAGGGGTTTGGCTTTAGAATGTTACTGGATGCAACCATTACTCTCCAAGGTGAAAGTCTTGTCCCGCTGCATTTCCCCAGACATCGTTCAAGTATGCAGGACTGGCTGCAAATCATGCCAATGTTAAAGTACAGCTTTTTTTTGTCAGTGTCTGACGCCGCAAGTCACTGCCCAAACACCAGATTTCAATAACTTCGGAATTAGACTGAGCTGGTAGGTCCTATACAGTAACCCAGGAGTACTGAAAATGCCGGCATGTGTTGCTAATGGACATTTACAGTAGTTACCCCCAATCACAGGGCAGAAAGCTAATCATGGAACTGAACTTTGTCTGTAATAATACTGCCTGGATCCATGTGAGAAATAGATCCTGAATGAGTCCCAAGAGTAATCAGTCTTTTACTGCTTTAGCAAGTTTAACTAATGAACTTGTGCAGAGGTGCGTGCACTTCAAAAAGGAAATGGTCTGAATCTGGAATATCTTCTCTTCTATCTAAATCTTCCAGATGCTGATCACAGAAAAGGTTGCAGAGAGTTCATATGAAATCGCATCCTGTCTGTCTGCCTGCTGGACCTAAGTCTGCTCATCTGCTCGTCCTCCAGCATGATCCACATTTCTCTCCGTCTGCCTCACATCTATGCTCTCTGCCTGCTGGCCTGTCTGACAGTCTTCACTCCAGTTGTCTCCCTGCCTGTCTGTAAACTGCAACACTTACAAACTCCAGATGTCGCCTCTTGGGGAAGTTGATGCTTCAGCAGAGTCAAACCATCAAACTCAAAGCTGACCTGTAAATCTATCAACTCTATCATCCCACAATGCCTCTCTACTTTCTCTCCATGACTCTCGGTTTTTACATTCTATAAATATACGGTCCAGATGTGCCCATTACTTGACAAACATTTAAGATTGAACCATTAGGCCTGATCCTACGACCTGCAATCCACTATCTCTTCCTTTATTCTTCCATCAGAAATTCTCATCAGGCCGATCCCAAGGCCGACATTTCTCTTTCTCCCTACCTTTCTTTCCTTATCTCCCTTTCTCTCTCTCATCGCAGTTACATAGTCCAGATGTGGTAACTGGAGTTCAGCAAAGTTCAGATTCAGCTCACACCATATGGGTAACTGACAGACACACTCCCTCTTGGCATTGAAGGTTTATTGCCAGAGCTAAAATACATATTGTCTACTGCAGACCCAAAGGAAGCAACGGCACTTAGGTTTTTCAAGCACAGTGCAAACACAGATGGTTATGGTGCCCGTATAGAATTCAGTGACTGTGTGCGGTGTCATTTTTATGATTCAAGGTGGTTCGACTGGAAACACACATTCAGGTATGCGTGCACATGCAGTCACATATCGTCATGCACTGAAGAGACAAGAGGAGAAACATTTAAGGACAAAGGATTCAGATATAGAAAGAAGGTACAGACCATTTCTCTTACCTCCACTCTACGGGGAAGTGACAATATCCCGAATTTGTTGGTTGGAGAAACACGAGCAGGAGAAAAGGGCAGAAGAGAGGAGGAAAAAAGACAAAAATCAGTCTCATAAGGAAGAGAGAACCAACCATTGTGCTTCTCTTACTAACTCATATCTAGCTGTGAGGAGACTGAGGGACAACCAGGTGGAGGGACAGTGTGTGTGGTCAGGGGGGAAGGGGTGTGTGTGTTTGTTTTAAGTGACTGTGGGCGAATGTGGCTGAGGTATCAACCAAATGGGGGGGACAACAAACAGCTGAAGCCACAAAAACACAACTAATATAACTGGCAGCTAACCTGACCCCCTAACACACGCAGATGGAAGAGCGACAAGTATGTTTGGTATTTGTTTCCTCTCATTTTGCAGAGTTGAAAGAAGGTAAAAAAGGTGTCCCTACCTGCGACAGTGACTTTAGCAGTTGCCTTCACTGTGTTGGCTCCAGCGCTGTGCTTGTTGGAGGCCAGACAGGTATACAGAGCCGGCTTATTCACCGTCACTTTGAGAACGGACAGGATCACTTCACCTGTCAAAGTCTCCTCGACGGATGCGCCTGAGATCTGGGAAACAAAAAAACATTGACAGCAAAGAAACAGAAAGCAAAAGTCAATGTGAAAGACCGAATTACACTTTAAAAAAAATACACCATAATTATATTTTTGTCCACTTGAGGCAGCAGAGCAACCTGAAATCAACACTGCCATACTATATTGTCTGATAAAGCTGTTATGTCACATCTCTTGGGGAAATGGTGCATATTTAAACATCCAAGTGACACAGGGCAACTTTAGAAGTCATTGTGTGTCATCTCTCTGCCCACCTGATAAATATTTAATAGTCACTTGCCCCTTTTACTCTGACAGTGTGCTACAGGGCCACAATGAAGTCCCTTCTTTATGCCACTTTTGGATTTTTTACATAGAACTAAATAATGGCGGCATCATGCCGTTCCAGTGACGGTTTAAAGGCGGGACAACTCTGTCCCCCCATTCCACAAATGTACCTTTTGTAACATAACAGCGTGAAATTTCCACCTAAATGAGACAGTGTAAAAGGGGCTACTGTTACTATCCAACATTATCTCATCCCTAGTGGTCATATTTTGATACTTGGACAGCCCCCAGGGTCACTGTATAAAACAGATCTTGACACAGAAGGGGTTGGCACAGGGCTGTAAGTATGGATATTGCAGGCAGTGCAGTTGCACTGGAGCAACAAACCTGCTATATGCCCTCAAAAATGCAAACCCATCATGATTTTAATTTAATTTAATTTAATTTAATTTAATTTAATTTAATTTAATTTAATTTAATTTTAATTTTTTTATTTTATTTTATTTTATTTTTGTATTTTCTTGAAATTAATCAGTAGCAATCTATAACTATATATACATATTAAAAATATTCAGTTAAATGGATCATTTCTTATTTTCTTTGATATTTTTGTCATACGGGTATGCAATGATGATTGCTGGGTAACATGTATGTTGATGTTGCCTAATGTCAAGTCTCTATTTGATCATGACATCATGACAATACAATGAGGTAACTAGTTTAGTGGTAACGACCTTACGCCACTGTGTTGGCAGTAAGTCACGTGGTTGGTTTGGGTTAGGGAAAGATTGTGGTTGAATGACTAACAAATGACTAAGAACTCACATGACTAACGACTGACTAACTCACATGACAAAATAACTCAGCGCCAACTTCTAGTTGCACACAGGACACAAACACCAGGATGGGTTTTCACTGTGTGTCTCCTACAGACGCTAAACAGTGCCCCCGGTGTCACTATAATGACCCCAGGGACACGAGTGGTGTATTTTGATGCACCTTGAGGTTGCACTGTCACTTTTTAGCTCCAGTTTGAAAAATCTGGCTCTTTAGCTGTTAATTTCTTACTAATATTTATACTGCCCGATTAGTGCAGCTTATAAAATAGAATTCACTGTATTGCCTTAAAAGATCAAAGTTGTGCCTTTTTCAACGAACACCATTGTGACTAAAACATGTACAATCTCGTCTGTGATAAGATTTCTCTCAAACTACACAGACAGGACTGTAAATTATCAAGCTTAAGACGTGTTGTAAATAATTCTATGGCGGTACAAAAGTATATCTGAAAGCAGACTTTCCAAGCTCAGTATTCTTTGTTGGAATCTGCAGCTTAGACCGGTCTGCAAAATCTATCTAATAATTTCTAGATAATCAGGTGAGAATTTGGTCAAAAATCTGAAAATAACAGCCTGGAAATGACTGTCCTCTGTTAGCAGTTAGCATCGATGTCTCAGGATTGTTAGCCCGTGAGTCTGGTTATATTCAGATGACAGACTCAGTGACAGAGCTGAGCTTTACCTTTTCAGATCAAGCACAGTAACAGTCTATTTAATCCCACTCCTAACCAGATGGTGGCAGTAATGCAAAATAGGGTAGTAAACAGATTATGAAAATAGGAAAATTTGTCCTCCAAAAATTCCTCCATAAAAGATTGAATGTGTAAAGTGCTGATACACTGATTATTACAGTCTCACTGGTGTTAAGCCGATAATATGAAATGCATATAGTACACTATGTGTGTGGCATTAATATAACCACTTGTGATCATTTAAAAGATTTAAAAATTCCCCGGTATTCACACTGGGCAGATGCAGCCAGATAAAATGTCTTTGTTGTTTTTAGTTTCTCTATTACCGCACAACTCCCACATATATCATTTATATAT